TATTAAGTGCCTATTCACTGCTGTGGAATCATTATCACTTTTATCATTGGGTTTTGTTCATCTTCCCCAACTGCAACTTTGTATCCATCAGGCAACAATCCTCTTCTCCTCCTTTGTTTCCTTGAAACCACCATCCTGCTTTTTATCCCAAGGAGTTTGACTGTTGACCACTGCAGGTGTTTGCAAAAACAGAATTGTATAGTATGTATCCTTTTGGAGCCTAACATAGTGTCCTGGAGAAACATTTGTCCGTACATTTCATGTGTTATACTCACCTTTCCTTTTGAAGGTTGAGTAATCTTCAATTGTATGTGTATGTTACATTGTATTCACTTGTTCTTCCATAAGATGCTTCTCTCTCTGGCCACTGTAACATGAATATGAACTTTAACCATTTTTTAAATTTATTTTATTTTATGTGTATGAGTGTTTTGCCTGAATGTATCTATTCACCACATCAGAAGAGGACTAGGATGCCCTGAAATTGGAGTTATAGATGGCTGTGAACATGGATGTTGGGGGTAGAACCCAGGTAGGTCCTTTGGAAGAATAGCCCTTAGCTTATGAGCCATCTCTCCAGCCTGTACTATGAATCTGTTTGAATCCTTGCTTTCAGTTACTCTAGGTTGATTCCCAGGAGTAGAACTGTTGGATCCTACAGCAATTCTACTGCTTACACTTTGAAGTGACTCCAGAGGTTCCTGGTGTCTAAAGCAGCTACAGTCATGCATCCTCACCAACCATGCACACAGCGTCTACTTTCTCTGTGTCTTAGCTACTTTTTTTGGTTTCTAAAACACCAGATACCTAACAGAAACAGGAGGAGATATTTGCCAACTCAATTCTCAGGGAGCAAAGATAGGGCACATTAGCATCCACTTGGTCGTCTCTTTATTTTGTCTGGGGACCTGCCCATGAGATGGTTTCATTTGCCTTCAGCATGGGTCTTCCTCCCTCAGTCAATTCTCTCAGGAAATACCTTCCCAGACACGGCCAGAGGTACACCTCATCCATCTCTTAGGGGATTCTAAATCCAGTTGAGTTGACAATGGAGATTAGTCATTACCTTCCACATATTGCCAGCATATATTGCTTTTTAAAATTGCATTTGCTTGAGTTACAGTTATTTATTTGTTGTGTATGTGATGGGAGTGGGAGCATGTGCACCACAGTGCCTGTGTGAGGGTCAGAGGACAGTGCAGGTCCTCTCATCCCATCATACCAGGCTTGGTGGCAAATGCCATCTTGCTGGCCCCTATTTTATTTATTTGGTTTATGTAGTGAGATTTATCTTAGCGGGTCTGCTTTGCATTTCCTTGAGATTAATGGAATTGAGCATCTATTGAAGAATCAGTTGTCTACTTCCAGCATCCTGGTTCTGTAGATTGAACTCATAAGCTTGCACAGTATGTGCTTTTACCCACTGAGACACTAATCCCAGCCCAAAGTGTGAATTTTCTTTGGGAGAAATGTCTATTTCAGTTCTCTGCCCATTTTTAAATCAAATCCATTGTTGTTGAGTTGTTGGTGTTCTTTTTGAATTGGGGATATTGGCCCTTAATTAAATATATGATCTGCAGGTATTCTCCTAGTCCGTGGGTTGCCTCTTCTTACTCAGCTTCTAGTGCCCTTTTGCACACGAATGTTTAAATTTGAAGTGTGCCATTTATCTATTTTCCCTCTTGTTGCCTATGCCTTTTGTGTCATATGAAAAAAGAATCACTGCCAAACTGAATGCCTGATGCTCTCCCTCTTTTTATCTGAGAGATTTTAAGTTTCAGCTCTTCCACATCAGCCTTTAATCCACTCAAGTTAACTTTTGCTGAGAACACTCAGTTCCAGTGCTGTGGAAAATCCCCCCCTCTTTGTCTTTCAATGTCTTTGGTACACTTGCTGAAAACAAACTGGCTGTGTTTGTGATGGCTTGCTTCTGGTCTCTCCATCCTTCCCATTGTCTGTACTTCTGTCCTGATGCTCTGGCCTCACCATCCTTCCTATTGGTCTGTACATCTGTCCTGATGCTCTGGCTTCACCATTCTTCCTATTGGTCTGTACATCTGTCCTGATGCTCTGGCTTCACCATTCTTCCTATTGGTCTGTACATCTGTCCTGATGCTCCACTGCTCAGATGACTACAGCTTTGCAGTGACATTTGAAAGTTTCTTTTTGCCCTTTGAGGTCGATTTTGTCTATTCAGGGCTACCACTTTCATGTGGTTTTGTTTTTAGCTTTTGAAGTTAAATGAATATTAATTTTCTTAGTAACAAACTACTAAAAAACAATTTTATTAGAAAGCTGTAGCCGAATGACTCCATATGTTACCAAATGACAACTCCCCAATAGTCTCCACTCACTACCAAATGAATCCCCACCGTCTTCCAGGTGATTCAAGTTCTTTCTCCAAGTCTCTCTTCTGTAGAGTTACTCTGCCCTGCCACACCCCTTCCCTTTCTCATTCCGACCCTTGCTTTCTAGCTTCTTCACCAATGCCCAATCACTCCCGGAGAGTCTTATCATGGCTAGTTCTCTACGCATCTCTGGGCCTTTGCTTCCATTGTTCTCTCCACCGAGAACATTTCCCATGGTTTTCTTAGCCTCAAACTCCCCCTAGCTCTTTCTTTAGGAATTAGGTTACATGCCATTTTTCCTAGAAGTCTTAGTCTTAGCAAAGATCCTCTCTTTTTGTTGGTCCACTCCATGTTGTGTGGATAATAAATATTATGCGCTCATTTCCAGTGGTTCTTCAAAGACACAAGCTAGATTTTCTATTTTTTTCCAGTGTATAAATACAATGGATGGTACACAGATAACTTCTGTTAAACTTAACAGAACTAAAAGAAGTTGGAGTCACCCAGGAAGAGGCCTGCCACTAAGAGTGGATGTTGCTGCTATGGGCAAGAGGAAGGACAAATGGGAGAGGCCCTGTGGTGCTCTGGGGACCAGGCCCCCTGGGACTCAGAATGTATGAACTCTTGCTACATAAGAGCAGTGTTAGCTGATTTCTACAGAATAGGCTTGGAAAAGTCCCCTCTTGCCAGGCCACCACACAGAACTTCTATTCAGAAAAAACCTATATAAAGTTCAAGGCCCTCCAAAGGCCACTGGGCAACAGTCCAATTCTTCTCTGGTGTAGTAGCCTTTCCCTGGAGGAATGCCAGGGGCCCTGGAGACCTTTTGATTCCAGTACATTTAGATAGCTGAGACATGCTTTATGCAATTTTAGTTCTTGAGACGGTAGATAACGTGGTTGTTATGTGGATGAAATGGCTTTAAACCCAAAGCAGACCCAATGAGCTTGGTTCTTGGGAAATCCGAAATCCGAGACGAAAAACAATACATGTAGGGTATGGTGAGTGGTGGCAAGTGTCTAGTCCAGAGATGAGGGGAGCAGGCTGACTCAGCAGCCAGGAGGAGAGACAGATATGCTTAGCAGGAAATCTCATGCCCTACTTGGCTCTATTAGTCACAGGCTAATGCGGGGTGTATGCCAAGGAGGTGGTAACACAAAAGCTTCCAAAGACACACACAGGCACACCTGATGACTTTCACAGGCCACCATCCCCCTTCCACCAATGAGACCAAGAATGATTCTGTTTTTCAGTGAAGTTGATATCACCTGTGTACATGGTAGGCTGTGTGTGTGTGTGTGTGTGTGTGTGTGTGTGTGTGTGTGTGTGATTTGTTTTTCAGCTGAGTATTGACCTCAGGTCTTACGAACTCTAGACAAGAGTTCTAGGATATATTTCAAGGCAGGAAGTGCTCTTTTTTATATAAAGGAAGAAAGAGAAAAGAGAGAGTTATATATCTCATAATGACCTTGAATGTCCTCTTTAGCCAAGGGTGACCTTGAACTTTTGTTCTTTCTCCTTCTACCTCTTAAGTATTGCAATTATAGGCTGTATTGCTATGTTCAGTGCACGAGGCACTGCAGATCAAACCCAGAGCTTTATACATGCTTGGCAAGCACTCTACCAACTAAACTACATTCCTAGCCCAGGAAGTGAATTTTTAATTGCCAGTATCAGCCTGGTATGCTCAATTTTTGGCTCTATTCATTCTTTTTAAAAATTGTAGAAGTGCCACATAAACAAAGAAGTTGTCTGAAGTAGTTTTTTTTTAGAATAAGAATGCTTTAATATTTGTTTAAAGAAAATGATAGGACTATTATAGTAGCAAGGGTATGTGGTTGGAGAAATTCCCTTGAATAAATCATAAAGATTACTTCTATTTTCACACTGGTTATCATGGACCCCGTGTGTCTCATATCCCTTATTATATTGTTTTATTTTTTTTACTTAACATTTATGAATTCCAGACCAGATATGTCTTCCTTAGTCATGGTAAAATAAAACTGATTTTCTTGGAAATGCTATTTTGGACACTGAGTTTAGACTGCCTTCCTTCTGGTTCTTCAAAGTAATTCTCCACAAAAGGCTTGGGGTCCTCTGACAGTGTGAAAGTGTTCACAATGCTTCTTGGACTTCGGGCCTCTTTGGCTTTGATTTCCTCCAGAGAGAAGTTTCCTCCTTAAAAACCTGCTGTGTGATCAGGCACGTGTGTCACAATTGCTGCTGACATGCCTGCCTGCATCACTGGAGGATGCTCGGGTGTCGGCTCACTTTCAGGGGCTTAACTGCTCTTCGTCAAGCACCTGTGGAGAGCTCAGTGTTCGGTTAACGCGCTAGGAGACATTTGTGAGGAAAGTATGGTCCCCGAGTACAAACAGCTCAGAACTCAGGTAAGAAAGACTGTAAACAAAGATGCCTTACAGCCATGTGAGCAGTCTTGAACCAGAAGTGAATGTTTGGAGTGAGGGAAAGCTACTATTCTGAGGTTGGAGATAAATAATTTTAAAATGGGGAGGTGATGCCTGATCCTAGGTTTGAAAGAATTCATGTAACTCTACCAGGCAGGAATAGAGCCACTGTTGTGTTGTATATCTGTAATCCCAGCGCTTGAAGGCCAAGGTGGAGCATCGTGAATTCAAGTCTACCCATCCTGGGCTTGTTAGAGAGATGGGTGAGGGGCAGAGGCGAGAATGATAGATGGGGGTGAGTTATGGTAAAATAGGAGCTGGCTAGATGGCTCACTAGGTAAAGGTACTTAATCCCAAGCCCAAGGACTTGAGCTCAATCCTGGAGGACAGAGAGACTGAACTTCCACAGGTTGGCCTCTCACCTCCTTATGAGCACTATGGCATGCATGTGTGTATGTGTACACACACACACACACACACACACACACAAATACACATGCATAAACACAAAGAAATCAATGTAATAAAATTTGGAAGGAGATGGTCTGAGACTGGAGGACAAGAGAAGGTATGGCAGGTGTATTAGTTCCTTTTCTGTTGCTGTACTAAAACACTGTGACCAAGGCTGTTTAGAAAATGTGTTTGGACATACAGTCCTAGAGGGGTAAGGGCCACCACAGTGGAGAGGTGGGGCAGCAGGCATGGCAGCATGAACAGGAAGCTGAGCTGTAAACATGAAACGGAGAAAAAGAGAGACCAAGCTGGAAATGGTGAGTGTTTAAATTCTGTAACCTGCAGTAACAAACTTCCCCCAGCAAGGCCACACCTCCTCAACACCCCACCCCCCCCCGCCGCCCCCCGCACCCCAGGGACCAAGCATTCAAATATATAAGCCTATGTGGGACATTCTCATTCAAACCAGCACAGAAGGGAAGTGAAGGGACTGTGCCTGGCTTGTGGGAGAAGATAACTGTTAAGAGCTTAGCCTAATACTTACAGAGATGGCCTTGTGGATGTTTGAAAAGGGGTTGTCCTTGTTGGCTTTCTACTGATGTGATGCAACACTGATCAAAAACAACTCAGAGAGAAAAGGGTTTATTTCATCTTGAAACTCCCAGGTCACAATCCACCTCTTTGGGAAGTCATGCCAGGAACTCTGGGCAAGAACCTGGAGGCAGAAATGGAAGCAGAGGCTGTGGAGGAGTGCTGTGTTTTCAGTGCTCCCCATGGCTTGCCCAGCTTGCTTTCTTTTACAACCAGGGCCACCTGTCCAGGGGTGGCACCACCCACAATGAGCTGGGCCCTCCCAGTTCAATCATGAATCAAGAAAATGCCTCCTAGACATGCCCATAGGCCAATCTGATGGAGGCAATTCCTCAATTGCAATTCTTTCTCCCTAGGAATGTTGAGATGTGTGTCAAGTTGGCAAAATCTAACCACAGGGGGTAGAATTGAGACATGACTTCACTTTAAGAATTCGAGCCCCAGTGACATCAAAAGAATGACAGGCTGAGAGGTATGAGAGATGATGTGCATCCAGAGACTAAGAGGTTAAGCAGCCACTGCTGACTACGCAGGGTAAAAGTGTTCTCCTTTTCCTGAGCTGGGGACTTAGCGCACCCACTGAATAGCAAACATTAATAAAGCCAACACTGAGTAAGCAGGGAGGGCAGGGGTGTGGCTTATCTCATGGGTCCGTCTCAAAGTGCTGCTTTGGTCCTGTGGCTGCCTAAGATCACTCTAGTGTCAGTCAGTAATCCAGAACTCTGTTCCTTTGATGACCTGAAGTCATCCTCCTAAAAATAAACAAATAAACAGATAAAGCTTTAAAAACAACCCTTACCGTAGGGTCTAGCTCTTGGCACTGTGAACACAGGAGACAGACGCGCACGCAAGCGCAGAGTCTGAGGGACTCCGGAGCTGACAATCCCGTCTCCCTGTCGAAGAGGATCCCATTGCCATAAATGGAAGTGGCGTTGGGAGTGTTGTTTTTGCCAGGTCTCCTGGACTTAAATGGAACGAAATGCTCTTGCAAAGATGGAGAGGAGAGGGAAGGAGAGGGGGTGTCTGGGCATGGGAGCTGGCTGCCAGCCCTTGCACTGGAGGTCCAAGTTCAAATATGCTTGCAGGCAAGCCTCCGTGAAGTTTTCTGTCCTCGTACAATGAAGCTGTTGTATGGCCAGAGGCTGGAGCGGGCAGCTGGATGTGCATGGGCTGGCCAGCACCTTTTGGCCTCCCTTTTGATTCTCCCTCGGTTGGAGACACACCTCACAGGACACACATATTTCGGGTCGCTCACACTGTAAGCTCTAGGAAGCAGGAGAGGTGCTGCTCCTGCGTGGGAGTGTCAGCCCTGTTTGCACATGGCTGAGTGCCAGAGCAATAAGAGAATAAAGATGTTCAGTAGATCAAGAAGCCACTAAGCACTGTATCCCTCTTTTAAACATTTGCCCTGCCCCCCAACAACCATTTTAGGTGACTGAATTCCTGGACTGCTTGGGTCCTTTCTCTATGTTAGTTTAAATTTGTAAGCTCCCCCTACAGGAATGACTTGATTAGATGCCCATCTGATTTGTAAAGTCCAGAGGGATTTCTGTGCCTACTGCTTACAGATTTAATCAGACGGTTCTTGAAATGACCCTGACCCTTTCGTTGGGAACAATTTCTAAAGTGATAAATTTTCTCCCCACTAAACCTCTGAGTAGTATTTCTCTCTCTCTCTCTCTCTCTCTCTCTCTCTCTCTCTCTCTCTCTCTCTCTCTCTCTCTCTCTCCTTTCTCCCCTGCCCCTCTGTGTGTGTGTGTGTGCGCGCGCGCGCACGCGTGCGTGTGTGCATGTGTGCATGATTTCTCTGAAATTCTCTTTAAACGGTAAATCTTAAGAAAGTTGGTACTAAAGGAAATAGGTTTGCAGGTGAGGGTTGATAGATGCATTTAGCTACAGTGGTAATAAAACAGACATTTATTTGATTCTGACTCTGCCAAGTATTGTTAAATGTTTTTAATGAATTGACTTTGTATAATCTTCAATGTGACTCTGTGTTATTATCTTCATCACTTTAAAAATGGAGAAACTGAGGCACAGAAGAATTAAAGTCATGAAGTTGATAGATCATTGAACCAGGCTCCCAAATCTGTTACTTACAGCCAAATGCTGGACTGATTTCCAGTGAATGGATATTTCCTAATTTTCATGCCTCTTGAGTTCAGGCTGGCCATGAATATACTTCTGAATATAGCTCTTAACTATTTATCACCTTTGTGTTCTGATTTCCAGGCATAAGTAGGAAATAATGGGAGAATAAACAGGGTAGAGTAAGGGATAATCATGTCATTGAGAACACACACACAACCATACGTGGACCCATGAGTACACATATTTATGCATTTATTCATTCATTCATTCATCTAGAGACAGTGTGCGTGTGCATGGGCGTGTGTGTGTGTGTGTGTGTGTGTGTGTGTGTGTGTGTGTGTGCATGTGCCTGCATGTCTGCATGCATATGTGTGCAAGTATGCATGGGGCTCAGAAGTCAGCCTCAGGTGCCATTGTTTTTCTTTCCTATTAAGATCGGGTCTCTCACCGGCCTGGAATTTGCCTCACCAAGTAAGCTAGGTTGGATGCGCAGAAAACTGCAGGTATCTGCTTATCTCTGCCTCCTCAGTACCAGGATTACAAGCACGTGCACACACCTAACCTTTAATTTTCTTTCTTTCGTTTTGTTTTTCCCCTAAACATAGGTTCTGGGTATTGAACACAGGTCTTCATGACTTGTAAGGCTAACGCTTTACAGACTGAACTATCCCTGTATCCTCTTTTTTTGTGGGGCAGGGGTCATGGATTTCTTTGGGTTCTCAGGCTGGCCTGGAACTTGCTATGTAGCTGACACTACCCTTGAACTCCCAATGCTCTTGTCTCCAGGAGCTGGGATTACCAGCACTCACCACCATGCTCAGCTCCGCCTCTTAGTTTTGTGTTCACATCATTGCTGTGCTCCCAGAGGCTTTCTCGGCAGGTTAAACATAGCTCGTCCCCAAGGGATCAGTTTTTCCTACTCCAGGTCATGGGAAGGGGCAAGGAGGAGAAGACTTCCTTTTCAAGGGCCTGTGAGGAAACCATGTTTGGGAAGGAACACATGAAAACTGATCAATAAGAATATTTGACAGCTCATCAGGTCTCTGTGTGTGGCAGGGTGCAGTTGGCAGCTCTTGGGGTATAGGAGGAGACCAGCCCTATCCTTCAGGAACTCGGAATTGAGAAAACAGATAGCCAGGACCCCAATATCACCCTCTCTGGCCATAGTTTGTGATAAGGTGTTATTTATCCCACATGCTATCTTTAAAAAAAAATTGTTTTAGATTTATTTGTTTTTATTTTATGTGTATGAGTGTTTTGCTTGCATGTATGTATGTGGATCACTTGCAGTTGTGGCAGAGGTCATTTAAGGTCATCAGATCCCCTGGAACTAGAGTTACAGATGCTTGTGAGCCATTAGTGGGAGATGGGAGTTGAACCTGGGTCCTTTGAAGAGTAGCAAGTGCTCTTAACCAGTGAGCCATCTCTTCAGCACCCCCCCAACCTGATGCTATTTTATACTCTGCACTTAAAATGAATCCAACTCTTACACAAAGACAATTGAATGCCATGCTTCCATTACAATGCGTGAGATGGTAATGGTATTCAAAGTTATGTATGAGATGGTATTATATGACATTAGCTTGTAGAACAATATGCATGCTATGGTCCCACTTGTATAGCAAAGATAAAAATGCATAAATAGCAATAAAATACATAATAATTACACCTAAAGAGTATTTATCCTATACCAAGCATTATTCTAACTTATTGGTCCTCCAAAGAACTCTCTGGGTACCAACAACAGTTCTTCGGATAAAGGTACTTGCCCCCTAGCCTGATGATCTGAGTTTTAGTCCAGGGTTCCACATTGTGGAAAGTGAGAATGGATTCCTCAAGTTTTCCCCTGACCTCCATAGGTGGTATATGCATTCTCTCTCACACACACACACACACACACACACACACACACACACACACACACACACACTTTTTAAAATGTGATTTATAAAAAAGAACTCTATGAAGTAGATATTACTATTATATCAATCTTATATGAATAAATGAATGCATAGAAAGGTTACCACTTCTGTAAGATTCCTTAATTAGTAAATAGCAAGATCAGAATTCAATCTCTGGTGTCCTGGCCCCTAAGTGTCTACTATTAACCAATAGGCTAACCTATAAATGGTGTATAAGTATAAACAAAACCTAGACAGACACACAACAAACTTCCAACTACCATTAGCTAAGAGGTATGGAAGTGGATGGGATGTAGTGGAAGGAATATTTTCTTTTTACGATATATACCTTTTTTTTTCTTTCTGGCAATGCCAAAAATAGAAACCAGGGCTCATGGAAGGAGTTACTTTGGAATTAGATTATGACTTATTTACAACTTTGCACCTCTATTAGGGGATACAGATAGCTGTGGAGTCAGTGGTACCTTAGGCAAAGGAAGAGAACCATGGGGTCCATTTCTAGGTAGAAAGAATGAGAACTGGGTCAGGTTGATAAGGAGAGGGGATAAGCAGGCTATGAAGAGGAGGAGGAAGAACTGAGGAGCTGAAAGACAGCAAAGAGGGGAAAGGCTTGAATCTGTGTGTCGATGTCAGGCAGGAGGTAGATATTTAACCCAGTCAACTTTAAGGACCCACACTTCAATGTAAAGCCTCGGGGTCGGGAGATCCGTGTATAGTATTCACAGAAGTAAAATTTTAGCCCATTTATAAAGTTAATCAGGAATTGTAATTCTCTTGGTGGGGTGGGGAGGGTGGTCAGAGGGCCCCGTGGAGAATTCCTGTCTTAACAAGTTTGGCTCCACTCTGAGGTCAAGTGTCATTCTGGAAGGTAGGTTGAGCTCCCTTTTGCTGATGATTATGGGTGAAGAGGGCCGCCCACGGCCACAGAAGGCTGTCAGGGCAGGGGTCATGCATCAGCTGTTGGGACACTTGGCTGCCTTCCTGACAAGCCTCTTGACTTGGTCCCGTGCCAGCAGATCCCAGTAGCTCTTATGCCTGGTCTGCTATCAAGTTCAACCACCTTCACCCTTGAACCTGGCTGAGAGCTCTGGAGGCCCTTAGTACACACTACCAGGCAATGCTCAGCCTTGAACGGGGAGCCAAAGCAGCCTTCACCCTCCTTTCCAGGGCTGGGACAGAGGCCACTGTTATGGGAAAGACGGCATCTTCAGGGAAAGGTAGACCCGAGAGGGTTGTCGGCTGGCCTGATGGCAGCCATCCTTACAATATCCTGACAACTGTGGTTTTTCTGGAGCATAAGCAAGACCGGGCTTTCTTCTAGGCTCAGATGGACTCATTGTAGGACACTGCAGGGCTTCATCTGATAAGTGAAGAGGTGCCATCTTGGTCCCCACTTCTTCTGCAAATAGCTGCTAGAATAGAGATGATAGCTATGTTTCCTGAGTGAATATTATGGGCCAAGACTCCTACAACACATTCTCCACAACAAAACGCTACATTATTCTACAGAGGATGAAACGGAGACTCAGAGATGCTAAGAATCCCACTCATTTGTGTCAGAGGTGGGATTTGAATTCAGGTCTGTTCTGCTCCAAATTTCGTAACATTTTCCAGTGTGCTCCCTAGATGATCCTTTCAAACATAAATGGGAATGGCTTTTTAATAAAGCACCCGTTAGCAGGTGAGCAAAGAGTAGTATAAATAGTTGCATCTTACAGGTCATAATGCCCATTCTTCCCTGCCTTGCCAGCTATGAATGCCACTTGTATATGTCTTAGAAGTGACATTTACTCAGCTACTAAGTGCCATGAGATCCTAGAAGAAGACTCAAAGTCTCAACATTCCTTTCTTGTGTCTAGAATATAATTCATGCTAGTTGTGTCCAGAGGTCTGTGAGGAATGCCGGCCTGATCCTTCTCTCTTTCCTGTGCCAAGCCAGATGGCCCTCTGAGCTCCTCCCTGCCTGGGCACTGCTGTCCATCAAGCTGATTGGCATCTGAGACTTGCTTCTCTGCTGATGGTATCTACTCCTAGTAAAACTGATCTGTGCATTTGTAAGGGCTGGACTTGATTTCTCCTGGTCTTGAGTACAGGATCTTAATTATTTAAGCCATTTGAACTCAAGTCTAATCTTTATAGAAGCTACTGAGTCCAAGGCTAATTTTATCAGGCTTTGTTGGAAGGTGCTTCCTAAGGAAGAGAAAAACAGAGGAAGTGAGTCCTCCACTTAGCCAGCTTACTCTTGGGGAGAGTTTCCCACTGCAGGGCAGGGAAGAGAAAGCCAGGTAGCGTGGTTGAGGACACAGACCTGGGAGCTGAGGGAGACTGAGAGTCAAACAAAGCACCGGAAATGACAGTGCCGTCCCGAGGGACAGCCCTGGGGATCAGAAGATCTCTCTGAAGTCTTCTGCTCAGTGCTTGTCAGCTCACAGGTGTGAGGAAAGTACCCGAGGCTTGGGAGAGAATTTCCCAGAAAGAACAGAGCAGAGAACTTCATAGTTAGTGGGGTTTGGGGTGAGAGTGAAAGATACGACCTTAAGCCATGGGACAGAGTACTGCCTAGAGAAAAGGTGGCTGAGATCTCCCCTAACTCTGCAAGCCTGGGAAGGAAGGAATTAATCGCAAGTAATTTAGCTGTGCTCTAGAACAACGCCCAAGTGTATTTATGACAATACCAAAAGATCTAACATTAACAAGACAAAGTCCTCCAGATCTGAGAGCCAGTACAAAACTTAGCTGGCAAGGAAAGAGACAGGAATAGGACTAACAATGACCATCAACACAGAGACCAGATGGAACACTTTTGAGAGGATTAGTAAATAAAATTTTTGTGGTCTTGCTTTTGGTTTAGACAATGTCTCCTACAATCTAGACTAACCTGGAACTCACCTGCTATGTCCTCTGAAGTGTTGGGATTGCAAGTGTGTGCCGGCATTCCTGGTGACAGTTTTCTAAGTGGTGGGTTATAATGTATCCTATGTGCTGAAGAAGGCAAAGATCGAGCATGTAAAGAAGAGACAGGGAGCCGGGCGGTGGTGGCGCACGCCTTTAAATCCCAGCACTCAGGAGGCAGAGCCAGGTGGATCTCTGTGAGTTCAAGGCCAGCCTGGTCTCCAAAGCGAGTTCCAGGAAAGGCGCAAAGCTACACAGAGAAACTCTGTCTCGAGAAACCAAA